TGATCGTTTATGTTCTGGTACGTCCTTTGTAACCAATAGGGCTTACACTTCTGAAAAGTTATTTCAGCTTCTGGAACCTGTTGCATACCAAAGTTATTGTGATTAGTTGTGTTATGAAAGAAAAATAATTATTGTCTAAGCGAGGTTATTGGGTTTATGGCCGAAAGTGTATTTAACAACGAGGGTACGCCACTGATGAAATAATGCATTCTAATCTTTTTAAGTAAGGAAATAATAAAATTATATTTATTTTGTAACCCTCATTGCCAGTTTCGATCTAAGTAGGTAGCTTGCTCTGATCGGAAGTTAATATTAATCACAAATCTTAACGTCGTATTTCAGTAATATATATATATAATGATATCTGAAGCTCTGTACTATGAGTTCGTATTGAGTCGAAAATTAGCAGCTGTTTTATTTTTTTCCCCACTTTAGGTGAATAAGATGTCCCTCGGGGAGAAAGCAGACAATGGAGACCCACTATCATTCACTTTGAAGTCAAAAGATTTCAATCAGAGAGGACTTTACTTCACCATTCAGTGTCACACCCAAGCAGAGAGGGACGAGTGGGTGGCAAGCCTTCGCTCCATTCTCGACACCCAGCTAAATTTCATGAGGGGTTGGTGTGAACTTTGAAACAGTGTTTCAGTTAAAAAGCAACACGTATAGGTTGAAACCAATTGATAGTCCTAGAATTCGGGATTTAATCCCTGCTATAAACTTACTGTGCAACAAACAAGAGGGAATCCTCAGTAGTCGCGGCACTTGAAATTCTTTTAGGCAGGATTAGAGTAAATTAATCTATGAGACCTTGGGTGGGATCAAATACATCAATCGAAAGGGTTTGACCTTCTGAGTCCAAAACTGTAATTACATCTCAAATCAGACAAAAGATGACGGAGCTACAAGCTAAAAATAAACAAAATCATAAGACTCAGAGCCGTTCTATGAGCCGCTTTGCCGCGGCTAAAAAAAAGAAACAAACTAACAATTTATGCAACGTAAATAATTTCTTTAAAATTTGGAGAGCAAGGGCACTAATGGGCACTTTCCAGCTATATCTTAGTCACTTTGGAAAGCTTTTCTTTTTAAGTCAATTTTTTTTTCTTGTAAGGTGTCCTAGTTTTTAGCCTAAATATTTTTGTCTTACAAACTTGATGTAATACCGCTCTAAAGTATAAAATAGTTTATCGTTGTTGCTAAAGTAACGGTAAAAATTATTTTATTGAAAGTTTCTTCCATCATCCAAACAAAAGGCACAGTTTATACATGAGTTTTTGCATTCTATATTTCAGCTTTACAGTCTCCTATTGCTTACCAAAAAGGCTTGAGTAATGATGGGTAAGTTTTCATGTCAGAGTATGAATCTTTATTTCATCTTAAAATTAATAACTTTTTTTTTGCATTATTATTATTATTACAATTATTGGCTGCCACGTTAAACAGTCTAGTACGTTGAAGGACTTCAGAAACATACGCCATCTGGTGGCTATATTATTTTATGCAAGAAAAAAAAAAGAACAAACGTTAACGAAACAGAAAAACAAGGTTTTTATAATATTTATTTTTACTACTTATATTTCACCTTAAGTCATTTTTGGAGTATTTCTGTTACAAGAAGCTTTAGTCTGTCTCTTGTGAAAATATCACACCGTATTAAGCTTTAGTCTGCCTCTTGTAAAAATATAATACCGTATTAAACTTTAGTCTGCCTCTTGTGAAAATATCACACCGTATTAAGCTTTAGTCTGTCTCTTGTGAAAATATCACACCTTATTAAGCTTTAGTCTGTCTCTTGTGAAAATATCACACTGTATTAAGCTTTAGTCTGCCTCTTGTGAAAATATCACATCGTATTAAGCTTTAGTCTGCCTCTTGTGAAAATATCACACCGTATTAAGCTTTAGTCTGTCTCTTGTGAAAATATCACACCGTATTAAGCTTTAGTCTGCCTCTTGTGAAAATATCACACCGTATTCTTCCACATGATTCTCTAATAATGTATTCACAGACTGTGTATCAGATACACCTGAAATAGTGTACCAATAGTGTCGCTTGTGTTGTACTTCATCTGGCTTCCCTGCTTATGACCGATTAACAATAACACGCGCAATTAGACCGCATTTCATGTCGAAATCAGGAAAGAAGGTCAGAACATGACGTTCCAGCTACATGTTCTCTTTGTTTCGCTCGGGATAGCCATGTCAGGATAAAAATCTCACTTTACTCTTTAGAAGCGACTTCATTTCTTGTTTTAATTAGCCGTAAGTGTACTTCGTAGCATCCTACGTTAGGCCACACCTGGACCAATGAAAAAAAACAAAAAACTAATGGAGTCAGGGTTGGATTACGTACCCAACTAAATTTTCTAAAACTACTTTGAGGTTTTATTCCTACACTTATCATCCGACCAGATATCGGACTGATGTTTTAGTAATATCTACAAAACAATAATATTTTGAACAAATGAAAGTTTCGTGCAAGTTGGATATAGCCAGCACTTCAGCGCCCCCACCGCCTAGAATATGTCTCTCACTTCGAACCTGTTTAAACACTTATTTCGAAAGTTTCGAATGAAGATCAAGAATTTAATTTCATAGATTTTTTTCTTTTAATTCCTGTTAGTTAGCAGAATGATAACCCTGAGGAAAGAATTATTAAGATTGCCATAAAAAATTAGAGAAAAATCTTACTATAAATGTTGTAAAATATCTACTTAAATATTTTAATCCTAAAATAGAAATATTCAGTATCGAATTGTGGGATAACTCTCCGACTTATTGTTTATCTTATATATTTTTAAGGTCTACATCGGTTTCGGGAGAACTCTCCGACTTATTGTTTATCGTATATATTTTTAAGATCTACATCGGTTTCGGGAGAACTCTCCGTCTTATTGTTTATCGTATATATTTTTAAGATCTACATCGGTTTCGGGAGAACTCTCCGTCTTATTGTTTATCGTATATATTTTTAAGATCTACATCGGTTTCGGGAGAACTCTCCGTCTTATTGTTTATCGTATATATATTTTTAAGGTCTACATCGGTTTCGGGAGAACTCTCTGACTTATTGTTTATCGTATATATCTTTAAGGTCTACATCGGTTTCGGACACTTTGGTGAACAACAGCTTGAGGAAAACACTTTCCAACCCGGCTTCCTACTGCACAACTCCAAAGTTAGGAAACCCAGACACCGGAAGTTCACTCATCACCCATTCTTTTCGTGAAACAAAACGTGAGAAGAACGTTCGGGCAAGTCACGTGTACTCACAGAATATCGTGCGCCGAAGTCGGTGTGAGCGGATAGACTCTGGTCGTAGTTTTGATGGTTCCGATCATAGTTTAGAACATTCTGTTCTTCCAGAAGATACCAATCAGGGTTCTACTTTCTCGGCTCTCCAGGCCCAGTGTGATGGGTCAAGGCTCAAAGAGTGAAGACAGTTTCAAAGAGAAACTTATAACTTAGCTTTATCAACAGTGCCAAAGGCCTGCATGAAATCTAACTGGGACCTCTGTTTAACTTCAAACTTGCTCATTTCTTAGTATATATATATATATAAAACACGTTGTAGAGAGTGAAGTTTAATCCCAGTTTCCTTCTTATGATATCTGCTGCTATCTTAGTAGACTATCTGGACTCGAACCTGCGATTTACTCGGCCTATATTTATGATTATTAATTTTGTCACGTCCATCTCTGAGAAATGTATTGGAACTATTTGACACTATTAGAAGTATTTAAATCTATGTAAAAGAAAGCTGTAAATAATTAGTTTTCAAACACGGCACATTTTTTTTTTTTTCATTAGCTATAAAACATTATGTGAATGTGAAATACAAGCTTGAAACAACTATTCCCGTAGTAAACAGCCAAAGCTTTCATTGCCGAGAGAACAGCAGTATACTGAAACGGAATGCTATATTTGTTATTATGTCATAGAGGGCGTTGTAAAGTAGTATTTCAAATTTTTTTTGATTTTCGTATATTTTTTATTTAAAAGTGAGCATTTATGTCTTTTATATTTCAGGAAAAGTCGTGGATATTGGATAAAAACATTTCTGTAGTATATTCATTTAATTAGTTGTTTCAACTCAAGTCTACCTCCACACCTTCGATAACTGACATAGAACCGCGTTTTTCTCATACCATTAATTGAGTTTTATGAGTGAGTTTTTTTTTTGTCTTTGTAATAACGCAGTAAAACAGTATTTTAACTCGTACTAGTTTTAAGTTCGATTAAAAAAAAATTTAAGAATGTTGTTTATTTATTGTAAGAAAAATAAATTATTTTATTTAATTATTTAAAAACATACCAGCCAAAATCAATAGATAACGCAACACACATGTTAAATACTTGGGTAGACCCAGGCGAGACAGATACTTGAAAAGTAAAGTCGTGCTGTTTTTTTGTGGGCTTGTTTTTTTATGATTAATTTTAGCTTTGCTCGTAGTTAAGCACAAAGTTACACAATAGGTTATCCGTGCTCACCACGGGTCTCGAAACCTGGTTGCTAGCGTTGTAAGCCCACAGACATACCGCTGTGCCACTGGAGGTTTTCAACTTTGACTCCGGCTGTTTGTATTTTTATTTAATCGTTGTTGATTTTGTTCCGCCTGTGCTTGGAAATAACGATTAGTGTTCACGTCTTTTCTAAATGAACTGTAGAGAAACCGACATCACGCTCGAGAGAGATCTGTTTTTGAAGAACGATTCAGTTATGTAAATGCTGTATATGTATATTATTTTATTATTTTCAGTGAATTATGGTCTAGAAAGCAAGCTTTAATTTATCATTCATACTTCAAACCACATTCACGGTTAGTTAAGATACTCACTGATAAACATAACTATTTAATAAAATCAATTTCTAGTGTTAATGATCACAGGATCACGTGGAGAAACTGCAACGAATTTAAAAAAAAAAGGCCTAAAACTCGAGCTATTGAATAGCTGACAATTCTTCTTCAGGAGAATAAAGTTTTCAATGTTGATGGTTCAAAATTTTCCAATAGGGGAAGCAGCTTACTCACCATGGTAATATCTCATGATTACCATATATATCACCATGGTAACATCTTATGATATATATATAAATACATCACCATGGTAACATCTCATGATATATATATGGATACATACATACATTTATATGATGCTCATTTATTTTGTATTTTCAGTACTGATGTAGAAACAGGCTAGAAAACACCAGAAAACAATGAATAATAGTTGTTTTTTAGTTTACCCGCCAGGGTGATATCTTAAAGAGTGTTCAAAATTGTTTTCAGACCACATTTTTAGTGAGAGGTGACAAGTTTATATAACGCATGTCTAATCACTTGCCATCGAAAGACAGAATAACCTTAATAGATCAGTGGCACGCGCACGACGGTATGTCTGCGGACTTACAACGCTAGAAACCGAATTTCTATACCCGTGGTGGGCAGAGTACAGACAACCCATTGTGTAGCTTTGTGCTTAAACTACAAACATTCATGGAGAATTTTCATTATTTGTTAATATGATCGCACTTACATACCACGGTTTCAAATGGAATTGTAGCAAAACAAATGTTATGTAAAACCTCGTAACCAGATCAATAGTTAAAATAACTTACGACTTCAATGAAGAAAAAAAAAACTTTTCTCATTTTAATCAAATATTTAATCTCAATTATGGCACCGTTGTTCAAATTATTATCATTTTGAACTTTAAGAAAAAATGTGATTACATAAAGAAAAACAAACTTATAGCTCAGAGTTTTGTTGGTTTTTCAATGCATGGTAATTTTAAAATCTCATTACAGAGAAAATAAAACTTGCTGAATAAAATTAATTTTATATCTGTATAACAACTGTGCATTAATTTAAAATGGTTCGTTTTTTTATGGAAAGTTATTCTTACTTGTCTGGGTCAAAGCATGACGTACTATCGGTAGGTAATTTTACTGTTAGGTAACGTTAAGGAAGTCTTTCCTTACTTGTCTAGGTCAAGACTTGGTGTACTTATTGGCAGATAAGTTTACTGTTAGGTAACGTTAAGGAAGTCTTTCCTTACTTGTCTAGGTCAAGACTTGGTGTACTTATTGGCAGGTAATTTACTGTTAGGTAACGTTAAGGAAGTCTTTCCTTATTTGTCTAGGTCAAGACTTGGTGTACTTATTGGCAGGTAGTTTTACTGTTAGGTAACGTTAAGGAAGTCTTTCCTTACTTGTCTAGGTCAAGACTTGTTGTACTTGTTGACAGGTAACGTTAAGGAAGTCTTTCCTTACTTGTCTAGGTCAAGACTTGGTGTACTTATTGGCAGGTAATTTTACTGTTAGGTAAAAGTCCTTCCTCACTTGTCTAGGTCAAGACTCTAATGCCTGTGATCAATAAGTAGTTTTCCTGTTAAGTACCTTTAAATAACTCTTGCCTATTTTTTGTGTCCTTTTATTTTTGTGTTCTCTACTTGTTTACAGAAATTATGTGCTTTGTTTGGTAACACTGTTAATATGTTATATAAATAGCACCAAGGCAAAGGCTGGAATTCTCGCGCTCACTTGATCTGATGTTTAACACGAAAAAATACACAATATGAGTGTGTTCCAATCCCGTCGACTTTCTTTACTGTTACTCTCGTGTTCCAGATAATAGTGCAGGGTGGGAAAATATCAATAATTTAATAATAGTACAGGGTGGAATAATTTAGATTTCAAATTTAATTATTGTACAGGTTGAAATCATTGGTTAAAGATGACGGGAAAAAAATAATCATGTAGACCCAAATAAGCATCGTGCAGGGTAGAACATTTCTACAAAATTAATAATTAATTAACTCACCTGTATGATAAAAGCTTACGATATCCTAGTTCTTCATTTATCAGATAACAAGAAGAAAAAATCAGGTTGATGTTTTGGAAATGTGGATTGTGATAGATCTCGAATGACTTGCTCATTGCACAAGTTAAGCCTCACAGGATGTTGTTTATTGTTTGAGATGAATATATTGTTGCTGTTAAACAATAGTCATTCTTTGTGTATATATGTAAATATTAGTACCTTGTTACACCTAAGTTTTCTGTAAAGTGTTAAATAGATGTACCTTAGCTTAGAAATAAAAACATGTTTAACCAATGTAAAGTCGTGAATTTTTTTGTTATTATTGTTGACAGAAGAGCTCTGATGAACAAGAAACGCATTGCATTGTGTTGTAAATAGGCCAACATTACTGCTGTTGTTCGATCGGAACATTTCTGTTCAATAAGTTACGTTCCCAGAGGGAAATGTTATCAGCGAGCTTTAGGCTTATCTTCATCACAGTTGTACTGAATGTACACCAGGGTGAACTTTGAATTAAGTAGAGAACATTTAAGTAAATAGTTACTATCAGGAGATTGTGGAAGTTCTGAATCCGATAATTTATCTCCCTTTCAACATAGAAATATCTTGTAAATGTTGAGTAAAACTGTTTTTCTCTTTGAAAACAAATATTTTATTTTTAATTTCCAACTTTGATTACCCGAATGGGATTTAATGTATTTAATATTTTTTCTTGTCGGCCTACTTATATTAAAAGAAAATAAATGTTTATGGTATATATTTTTTCTTTTTAGATGCCTAAGTATATTCAACAAAATAAAATTTACTTGGATATAGCGTTATGTAGTCTGAAAGATGCTTTTAACATTAGTCTTTATTGGTTTTCAAAAATATTCACGTTTTATCATTTCAAAATGTTTCT